AGCTTCAAAGTCGAAAGAGTCTTAGCAATGGGTAGCAATCTGCGTTCGGCGGTAGATTGTAGGAACAGTGCCGGGGAAAGCTTCTTTTTCGCCCTTGTTTTCGTAGGAGAAACAAAAATGCACTCCCCATTAGCAATAGTGACCAGCCACGTCAAGGTACCTTAGCGCGAGCTGTGTGCCAAGAGAACTAGTGTCCGGGAAAGAGTCTCACTTATGCTCGGAATACTTATACTCACGTGCTGCGAGTTGAGTGTCCTTCTGCAGCTGGAACAGCTTCAAGAGCGACAAGCGCAGACTCAAGCCGGCTGTGACCACTACGACATCCGTCCAAAGAGGAGCGCTAATAATATCGAGAAAAATAGTACATAATCTAACTCTATTGTCGACATTTTGCACAGTCACATCTGTTATTCACGATTGGTTCAGGGATTTTTTTTTATTTTTTATGTACACCATTTTTGCTTCGAACGTCGAATCTAGGTCGGGCTGCAGTCAAATTTGTTTTTCACAATCGCTTCAGGGATCTTTTTCTTTTTTTTCCTAGAGATTATATGCGTATTGGACATCGAATTTAGAACGGGCTACTGTCGGAGTTCCACTCATGCGGCCGATGGGGTCAAAACGAGAAGTGAAATGTCTAAACTAAGTTCAAGTCTGAGTTTAGACATGATTTTCGACACATTGCTATCCTTGTCTGGTATTACAAGGGTTTCTGGAGCAAGTGTTGAGCTTCATTAATGTACGATAGAACCGTTGCCTGGTTTGTCAAATTATTGGCGTGCAATATTCTCTCGGAGAGCAGGAGGAGAAAACGTCTTTATTTTATTCTACTACGTCGAAATGCTATGTGGGGCTGAACAGTTTTTAAAACCATGAACATATTAAGGTTGCTGAGGTCGAGGCGTGTAAATTTACAGCTGATGGAAACTGTGCAAAACCTAAACTTAATATCTAAAAAATCTTATATAGAGTTACTTCCTTTGTATATGAACTCGTGAGTGGGTGATTGTACTCGTTGCATCGTATTCCGACAGCTAAATAAACCAAGAAATATAGGTAAAGAATTTTCTTTGAGCAACCTTTGTTAACCTATTCGTAATTAAAACTGTTATGATACATTTTTGTGCTTTTATGCACTATTATGCCTTGAAGCAAATGTTCTTCATTTGAATTTGTGTATTTTAAACGGCTTTCATTGCACCTGGATGTTTGACGTGATGATTGTAGAGTTCTTAATTGTAATTTTAGCACGATCCTCATGAACAGTGACCTGCCAAATTCCCTGCATAAATTCAGTGAATTTCATCCTATGAGTGCCATTATTTACGAGAATCACAGTTTACATCTCTTCGGTCACAGCCCAGCACGCGCATGTTCGTCGCTTTGGAAGGCGAGCAAAGTACGCGCCACGCGCATGAACGCTGATATTGGCACCGACCAGACCCGCTTTTCTCGAAGTGTCTATAGGTATATTGCTAAATTACTTAAGCACCAAACAGCATATGCATGGTACAAAAGTAGTTACACCCGCTGGCGTCTGCAACAGTAACGTTTTTAAAGAAAATATAAAGCAAATAGCACGTTCATTCAGGTAACTTGAGTGTGTTGCCACCTGCATCCTTCTTCTCTAGCATGCTCCGTGGTACTTGGGTAATTTGTCAAAAGAATGTATTGCTTGACTAATCGATATTTATTATAAAACAAGAACAGATTTGCTAGCGATTTAACGAAACTAGCGAGCCTCGGCTTGGGCGTACCGAGTTACAAAAACGGTTTAACTCAAAATCTCAATTGCTTCCGGTTTTTCTTATTTTTTACTTTATCTTATTTTAGCATGTAGGCGAAGGTCATACTTTGCGGAACTAGATATTATTATCAACTTCAGATAGCACGAACGCCCCTGTTTTCTCGCTGTTTGACGCAAAAAGGCGGGCGCGAGCGTATAGCCGATTGCCGGCCGCGCACTTCGCTGGCCGCCGGTGACGTAACGTTTGGATGGCGGAAAAAACTGGGGAGAAGAATTCATTAGTTTTGGCAGCTAGCGAAATATCATTTATTTAATTAACTAGAGTGAATCTAGAGGAAAGAGATAGAATTTCGGAATCAGAAAGCCATCCGCAATCAGATGATGACTTTGGATTAAGTAGCTCGAAAAATCGGCGGAGCGTAGTACAACACTTCGCACCCTCAATTTTTGTTCAGTACGTCATCTTCCATACCCTCTTCACCTTTCACTGCATTGGTCGTATCATCCCCTCTCGCCGTTTATGAGGTGACTGGACAAGAAGAAGGGGGGGGGGGGGGGGTTAAGATGATTATCTTTCCTGTAGAAACCGAGGTCATACGTCGCTGGTGGACTTAGGGCTACAAACCGACAAATACTAAAAGGACGAACGACAGAGTCACAGGCAAGGTCAATAGCAGCTTTTGTTTTCCGCCAACTCTGCATGGTAGTCAGCTTGCCTCATTTCTTCGTAACGGCTACTGCAGTTCAGGAACATCAGTGGTTTAAAAAAAAACAAGTTAGATGGACATCTCAGAATCCCAAGTAGATAATGCCCTGAAGGGCATTATCTACTTGGATATCTACTTGAAACATTCTTCATAAAGAAGATGGGCATCAAGAAAACCTTTCTAACTAGTCATTTTTCTCAAAAGGGGCATGCCACAACGCAACCGCCCCCCACTACTGGGGCGTCAGTAACCATTAAACCAACCGTGCGTCCATAATTTTTTATAATGTATTTATTTGACATGCTGGGGGGGGGGGGGGGGGGAGTCCTGATTAAAACTTTGACAGGAGTGGCAACGATTTACACTTGTAAAAACAACAGGTAAAGCAACACGGCAACAAAGCACAATGCAAGGAGCACCAAAAAAATAATGCTAATCAAGAATATACAATATTTAGGTTGCGTCCAGGTGGAAAAGGAATAATTCAAGATCGGTGGAGGAAACAACATGTTCTGGCACCAGATTCCAGTCCCGCACCATACGGGGAAAAAATGAATACTCAAAACAATCTCTATTGAACGAAAACTCTTGTTGAATTTGTTACGCATAAGTTGTTTTCATCGTCAGCATCAAATATTTCTGACAACGTTATAAGCTACTACTTTTCATACAGTCTGTAAATGTTATCTCCCAAATAGTGTGAAAACTTTCAGTTTAGTTATACGCAAGTCCGTAGTCTTCCAGGGCAACCCGATAGGGTGGTGTATCAGTGTGCCGGTGTGTTCAGTAAGAGAGCCGAGATCGAAAAGGGAGTCCATCTCCAACCATGGGGAGGGTTTGCAATTTGATGGCAGTCGCCTTGCGGAGATTGATAGGGAGTGCGCACGTGATGCGCTTTCGCGCGGCGAGGAAGAAAGCAAACGGAAACGCGGAGACGTTTGCCGACGATCAACACTTTGGCACCACCCCGCAGCTCGTATTGTAAACGCCACCCATGAACCACGTTACCACAATGGAGCAATTGGAAGTTTTCTGAACAATAAGCTCTCTAGTGCTAAACTGTTACAAGATAATGCGGTGCAATCGATTTCAAAAGAGCGCAAGTTTGTGAACCAGCCTCGAAGTTAGAGCGCTGGAGGTGAGACAACTGAAGCTCCTCCCTGCCGCTCTCCTTCTGCCAACGTATACTTTACTGCTATTTTCAATAATTACATTTTAATTAGTCAAATATGCGTGAACACCTACTTATCGTAAATGTTGTACATCGTGAAATCGGCTCCTTGACAGTGACTAATACGAACTATTTTTCCCCTTGCGACGCGTAGTGTTCGCAGATGCATTTTGACCGGCGTCCGGTTAGACATCCTGCAGTTTACACTATGTAGAGAATATTTGTTATTTAAGTTGAAGTGAAGTGACTTCGTGCTTTTATACTCACCGCTGTTGATGTATCGTCGCTGAGTCTCCTGTCCGCGCTGCTAATATTTTTGCCGTGGTAACGGAGCAGTAAATAGGAATAATCTCCAGCAGGTGCTTTAGGTTCTATTTTCAGATTTATTCTTTATCCATGAGCCCGCAGGTCTTACGGTGTTGGTCCTACACTCTAAGAAATGCCTGTGCGTCTACTTACCCGGAAAACCCTCAAAGAGCCAATCTCTGCGATCTACGAAATCAACTCAACGAATGATGATGCCGAACGTCTGTTTAGACCTCAAAATTAAGTCTGCGCTGTAGCATTACGCAATACAATGCATTACACGTGCATTGCGTAATGCCACAGCGCAGACTTCATTTTTAAGTCTAAACGGACGTTCAGCCTGATCATTCGCTGAGCTGATTCTGTAGATCGCGGAGATTGGCTCCTTGAGTGTTTTGCGGGTAAGTAGACGCGCAGGCATTTCTTAGAGTGTACACCCATGAGCGATATGAAGGTGAACAGCCGTGTTCTTGTTTTTGACGCTCCTGCAAGTTTTGGAACAAGCTCTATTCCAGAAGAGGGCTAGAACGCAACGTTTAGACCCCATGCCACGTACCATTTGAGACGTTGAGAGTTAATATAGCTTTCGGGAGCCGTAAAACAGGCAAGCAAAGAGGTAATGTGTTCACCTTCATATTGCCTGCGGGTGTACGTGCGGCGTGATCGGCGTAAGATTTTACCACGTTCGTTGCACAGACATTCAAAGTGTGAACACCAGCGGCTAGCTTCCTCCCCCAGGCTATGAGCCTAAGAAGCACAGAGTACGTGCTGCGCCACCTGCTCTTTTTGAAGCCCCATCTTGAAAACCCCAAGTATTTTTTTTTCCACTCCTCAGCCAATAAGATTGCTTGACTGACCGACAGAAACGCCGGGGGACCAATCGCGTAGCTAGAGGTGGCAACATAATAAGCCACTACTTGCGTTTGGTAAGCTCTGAGGGACTATACTAAATATTCCCTTTTATAATACAATAGTATTTTTATCCACTTGGTCATTTCATTAAAAAAGCGAGAAAAAACAACAACAACAAGAACGTTTGCAATATTATTTTGATTCTTTGCATTTCGAGGATCCTGTGGCTTCGGGACTCTGGACTGGTGGCAAAATGGTGGAAGGACTCTTCGGGCAGCTGGGAAGGCTGTGGCCAGACAATCAGCGACGGGACGCTGACCTTTGCGGACTTCACGGACGTCGTCAAGATGTGGCTGGTCATGCTGGCTGCCGCTGGCTGCGTCTTTCTTGCCGAGTTCATCTGTGGTCGGAGCACGAACCGGTCGACATCCTGTCGCCATTCGCTGTTAGCGCTTCATCGCGTCAAAGTTTGAGAAGGAATGCGTACGGGATGGGAAATAGATTGCGACATTCCACGTTGGGGCACGGGGTTTTGTAAAGGAAGATGCTGGGAAAAGATTGCTCTGCGGTTTTTTTCATTGCAGGAGATATGTAAAGAAAAACAGCATCTTTAGGTGTTTTTTTGTTTTTTTTTGTTTTTTACAATTAAATTATTAGGCAGTTTTTACGAAGTCAAAACTTCGAGAAAAGGTTGTCTGAAAAACTCTAAATTTAACGATTAAGTACACAAAGGCTTGCGACTTCGAAACTGTGTAAGTATATGAAATGATTCGAACTTTCTGACTTGCATACTAAATTTTTTAGGGTGTAGATTATATAGAAAATATATTTATTTGCATATTGCTATGATTTGATATAGATATACTTTTTAGATCTTCTTAGCGTCCAAATCACCTGGAAACTTCCTATAGTTATTTACAATGTAAGAAGAATAAGAGCAAGCAAAAATTTCACCAAGCAGCACATTATGCTAAGAAGTTATCCCAAAAAAAAGTAATTGAGGCACAGCGGGATAACACATGCTACAGCATATATTCGAACTGTTGGTAATGAAACAACTGGTATCTCTTTTACTTCGGCGACGACAAGAAGAAAGAGGGACAGGGCCAACCTGCGAAAGCATACAAGCTATTTATATAAAGAACGAATAGGATGTTAATTATAAGAATATTTTTTTTGTGTATTCACAAAGAATTTTTCAACCTGCTCCGCGACATGCAAATAAAGAGTATATCGGAGGGTAGAGGGCAATAATAAATTGTGTTTATCTGGAAATAAAGCACGCATACGCATAACAGTAACTCGGGTGTTTCCGTCTGCGCTAGAATCAACGGTCTCCCCCCCCCTTCCCCCCCCCCCTTCCCCCCCCCCCCCCCAAAAAAAAAAAGAGACACCGACAGCGCACATACTTTGTCGTCCTGCATTGTTTTCTGGGTTTCGGCGCGTATTTGAATTTTTCTGGAGATTGGAACAATAAAAATTGAGAAAAAAAAGATACTATGCCGCATAAATTTCTGTAGAAGAGAGATCAGCGACGCAATGCTGACGTCACTCCACTGCAGTGGCCCTGTTGTCGGCAGGGCGCATGCGCAGTGGTTCCACTTTACGCGGTTCCTGCGCACCCGCAGTAGCGACACCTCGTGCCGGAACTGTGCGTTTGCCAATACCTCGAGAAAGGGCCTACTTGTAAACAGCGCCCTGGCCTGTAGCTGTTTCAATCGGACAGGCGCGATTCGCTTTCGAGCGACCCAACGAGCAGGCCAGCAGATGAGACTGGACGCGCGTGCGCACTGCGCGGTTCTCAACAGCAGTCGGCGCGCCGTCCGGCGGTCCAAGTTTTTTCGTGACATCAACTTCCCAACCTTGCACCCCCTTCCAAGCGCAGAAAAAGACTTAGTTCTGCGTCAAATAAAAAAGGAAAAGAAAAAAAGAAGAAACGGCAGGACTTGCAGAACGATTTCTGGAGCGCCATTTTGGAAACCCTCCAAGAGGTAGGGCCACTTCCGACACAGCGGTCGTTAGTACGCTGACATCATTGACTGTCCAGGCGGTGACGGTCACGACGACCGGCGAAAGAACAAGAAAATTGCACCCAGGACATCACCTGGGGCATTGGAGACCTGCTAAAACGCGTTCCCGGTATCATTGCTCAGAGTGTGCGCTTTGAGACGCGCTTTTCTATGGAAGAGCCATATCTTAGGAGCACATCTCGAAGACTGCGAATATGGAAGCTTGTTGACAACACTTGCGCAACGTAATGTGTGATTATTAAATTCTTGAAATAAAAAATAATTTTTACTGGGGTTTTACACGTATGTACAAAACACAGGAGAGCAAGTGTTAATTTGTGTTTATGAGCAGAAACATTGCGGTTCAATTCGATTATATATTTTGCCATATGATGATATTAAAATTATATTATGTGTCAAGAATGGTAAGTACAAAGGCTCTTTATTATCTAATTCAAAGTGAATGCTTAAGCTTTTTGTAGTGTAAACTAAATAAAGTCAGCGTTTTTAGGGGCTGGAGTTAAGAACGAAGTAGACGCATTTTAGTAATGGGCGCATATCTTACTTAACTACGTAAAAAAAAGGTCGTTCATTTTTTTCGGAACAAGATACTGTTCAGACCCTGCAGTTTGGAGGAATACCAAAAATATAAGGATGTCCTCATTTTTCAACTGATTGTTATTCTGATTCAACTGTATGTTTAGCGCCCAACGTAATTGCCAATGTATTCCAATCGGATTTTTAGTTTTCTTGACGTTCATGACCACAACTTATTACCATTAGCGGAAAACGAACAGCGCAGGGACAAGGACAGAGTAGAAGGCGGTAGACACACACAGCGCTGTGTGTGTCTACCGCCTTCTACTCTGTCCTTGTCCTTGCGCTGTTTGTTTTCCGCTAATATGAGTGACCAACTAGCCCAATCGTCAACACTTATTACCAGTTTACTCAAGTATGTTTCGTACTTAACATTTGCCTCTCGGTGACGCAATAGTTTTGCCTGCCATCAAACCTTACGTATTTGTTCTCTTTGATTTCATAGTTTCTACGAGCAAAGTCACATGGGACGAAACAACCAGAATTCTATGCAGGCGAGAGAATAAAAAATTAAAAGAAAAAAGTGAAAGCCGTTTACAACTCCCTGTAACGCCGAATTAGAGTGCAGCTCTTGAGGAGGAGGAGGGAAGTGTACTGGGGGGGGTCACGTGACCTCGGGCGGGGGGCGGTCATGTGACCTCGGGGGGGGGGGGGTCACGTGACCTCGGGGAGGGAGGGTCACGTGACTTTGGGGAGGGAAGGTCACGTGACCTTGGGGGGGGTCACCTTACCTCGGGGGGGGGGGGGGGCGGTTCACGTGACCCCCCTCCCCGAGATCACCGAAGGTACCCGAGGTCCTCCCGAAGGAACCCGAGGTCCTTTTGAAGGAACCCGAGGTCCTCCCGAAGGAACCCGAGGCCCTCTTGAGGTCCTCCCGAAGGAACCCGAGGTCCTCCCGAGGTCCTCAGGGGGGGGGGGGGGTGTCTCGCGGCAGTCTTGGGTAGTAACGCGTTACTGTAATTTTGTTACTTTTTTGGTAACTTGTAACTGTAACGAGTTAATTTTTATTAAAATGTAACCTGTAACTGTAGTTCTATTGCTTTTTTCGAGGTAACGATGAAAGTAACGACGTTACTTTTGTCGTTACTTTCCAGTTTTTTATGAATAGTATATCACTGAACGAGTACAATTTAGCCATTTTTTGCGCTTTCCAAATTGTCTGTTCCGACATTTCGAGCGTCAAGTTATTTTTTGCACAGACTTGTGAATACGTTCTTAATCGCCAGTCACGGCCCAAATATAGCCACGTGTAGATTTGGTGAAAAAAAAGTGTAGTTATCTTTAGCACGCGCTTGTACTTTGTGACTGAACAACATCTTAGTATCTTGAAGAACTATCTCTTTTGCGGTTTTCTTTTTTCTGCGCAAACGCTTTTAATCGGGTGAATTAAACGTGAAACAACAATACACGCGGAGGGCACTGCGAATGTTTCGTATTTTGATTAGCGCCACCACTCCGCGCTGCGCATGTTTCGTATTTTGATTTGCGCCACAAATTTGGTGTATTGTCAACCGTCGAGGCAAAATTTACTGCTGTTTGCGCAGAGTTTGTTTCTGGCTTGCCGGGTACAAACTGAAATATGTCCAGGAACTCTATGAACCCAGCGCAACCGTTAACGAGCCAGCAATGTGCTAGTGCTACCAAGGATATGAATGATGATAAGAACAAAGAAGAACTACCATGGCCGGCGTACAGAGAGTATTTTGCTGTGGTGGAGGTGGTTACTAACACCTTGACCGCAGAAAACGGCACTCTAGCTGTTGCCTCAGCACCTATCCGGCAATCAAAAACCTTTTTCGGCGAAACAATACGGCAATTCCATTCAGCGCGTTAGACGAGCGCCTGTTCAACAAGGGCAGGGACGTGTTCCTTATCAAAGGGAAACTTTCAGACACCAATTTCGAGAAGCAACGGCTGCTAAGTTACGATATGAAGTAAAAAGCACACTTTTTAATTTTATGCAAATGAACTTGGTGAAAAGCGTTTTCTAGTTTTTCCTAAACTTTTTTGTTTTGTGTTATAGAAAAGTAACTGAAAAGTAACGTCGTTACTTTTTAAAAGTAACTGTAACTGTAACGAGTTACTTTTTTGTTGCGGTAACTGTAACGGTAACTTCGCTACTTTTTTTCTGAAAGTAACTGTAACTGTAGCGAATTACTTTTTAAAAGTAACTTACCCAAGACTGGCTCGTGGTTACGCCGACGGCGACGGTGACGGCGACGCCGACGGCAACGCTGACGCCGCTCAAGCCGGAAACGGGCACCTAAGAGCTGCGCTCTAAAACATTCCACGTTAATTGATAGCCATCTTGGTTTGAGTCGTTCATAAGTGGGATTTTGAGCAATATGTTTTGCTTGTTCTTTCTATTATCTTTGAGCCAATTTTGTGTCCGCTTCATTCAAGGTTTATGAGCGCATGTGAGCCAAAATTAGGGACACAAAGCAGTGTCGAATTATGGTCCCCAACTAGCGGTGGGAGCATGCGCATGTGATATGAATTAAAAGACAATTACATTTTGAGATTGATTATTACAGTGTTGTGCAGACTCACCCCTGAGTCCTAAATTGCATGAACTTTTTGAAGTGTGGTGCATACACCGGTAAACCTTACAGTGCGAATATATCTTTTGTCTAGAGTAGAATTGCAATTGAATCGTTAGTTCGAAACCAGCACTACATTTTTCGGTTTTTGTAAGCAAAAGTTCTCATTATTTACATCAAATTGGGTCAAAGCTCTTGTGCTCGCCCTCACCAATGACCCATTTCTCGCATATGTACGATAAGCGCTAGACACGAGTTGATAAGTCGCCCGAGACATTTAATGATTCAGGCTTCCGTTATCGAGAAGTCCTCACTGCACAGTACAAAGTCCCTTTTGTAGCAGGGGCGGCTGACTGCGATCTTTCCAGCCTTTTTGTTTGTACTACGATCCGCGAGTAATACCGCGCCTTCGCG